GGGGGTCAAGTTTCCTGTGACGTAAATCTCACACTCTGACTAACTCCACGCGGTGACAGAACAATCACTATTTTCGAAAGGCGCGCGGCATTCGGTGAGTCATTATGGGGAAATGTGACATCACATGGAGGGGGAGGGAAGGAATCAAATCCGTGACCAACTGCGATAATGGGGTGAAAAATGGTCCAACAAAGCGTAGCAGTAACTCCCTCATAAATATTAAAATTAAAATTTCTCTTTGCAATACTTACAGAATCAAAGATTGATAGTCCATCATGACCACCTAGTGCATAAATATACCCTTCAAACGCAACAACTCCACCAGCACTGCGATGTTTAACCATGGACGCAATTAGAGTCCATTCATCTTTGTCAGGTTGATAACATTCTACTGTGTTTAAGGAAGTTATTCCATCGTAACCACCACACACATAAAGTCTGTCATTTAAAGCAGCAGCCCCAACAGCACTGTAATACAGATGACATGTGTTATAGAATTCAATAGCAAATTCAAAAGAACCAAAATTCAAAACCCTTGAAGACCAACCTGCGTTTACAATGCATCGGAGAAACTCTGCTCCATACTCTTTCCACAGGATTAAAAACTTCTACAGTAGAGAGCCTTTCAGTGCCATTGTATCCACCAAACGCATACAACCTATTGCGCATCACTGCAACACCAACTCGACTACGTAACATAGTCATTGCTTCAGCCATCTGCCATCGTCCGACCAACGGATCGAAAACCTCTACAGTGCTTAAGGAATCACCTTGAAAATTGAAATACCCCAATATAGAGATAAGCAAGAAAAATTTGCAGACAGAAGATAAAGATCAAGAGAATAATAAACCCCTACCTGATTTTGTTAAGCCACCTACAGCAAATATATGGCCTATGATAAAATTACAACACCGTGGTCGAGTCCGGAATGACTGAAGTAATGGCCTTCTTTCAGGCATCAAATGGTAATCTCTAGCCTCATCTAACAAATCACTGCAGCATAGAAATAAGGATAGATTGATATTAGAGGCCACAAAATACAGCACATACTTGAGAAAATTTGTGAACAGTTCAACTATTGCTATGAAGACAACACAAACCGGCACTCATGTGATGTACGTATTAACTCTTCTGTAGCAACTCTATCAGCTAAATAATGAGGAGACAGGAGGGGTAGACGGACTTTGCCCAAGAGTGGAGGCAAATCTTTTTTCCGCAATTCAGGATCTCTGTTCATCCAATTCATGACGGCTTCAAAAACCTTGCAAAAAAAATAAAGCATATAAAATACACATGGAAAAGAAAAGTGACTGTTTAATGAATTAATGCATAATATTTCTCCTCACCTGTTCCTCTGATGTCACATGTAGTTCATCTCTGTGGATAATGTCTGTTAGCTCTTTAAAGCTAAGTGAGAAAAATTCATCTGAACTAGATACATCTTGAAAGTACTGCTGAAGATATTTATCAGCAGACTCCACAAGTGGAGTACAACCCAAAGTATCAGCAAATGACCGAATACCTAGCACATTTTGCGGATGAAACCTGAAATTAAATCAATGTATGATAAAAGAAAAGTTTAATAAGTTACACTGAAAAGGAAGGAAAAATGAAAATAGACGGCTTAATGTTACCTCTTTTTCAGAAATTCAGCACAAGCATTACGAACTTGAGTGAGCTGCAGAAACGAAGCACCAACCATAAGGGACTGCACGTTGTTCACATCAATAGTAATTAGCCCTGAATATGCAAAGTTCACAAGTGCTTCTAATGCTCTAGAGTGGGAAAAAAGACCAGTTAATGAGATGAACATAATTCTTACAAAAACAATTAGACACATGTTACTTACAATGCCTCTATGCCATGAATAGTTATGTCCCTTTGGGTACTTTCAACCATATCATTTGTGAACATAGCATAAAAATAAGGGATATTTGCTGCAAGCACTATTCTATGGGCACTAAAGGATTGGTTATCCACCTAGAATTTAAAGACACAGTAAAAATTAAAATCTGTTACGATTCTTTAAGATACATATCTTTTGATGGCAAGAAAGGAAAACAACCGTACCTTCAAAGTGACATCACACAGCTTTCCAAGTCTCCTAATTTCCTCCATGATTGGAAATCCTTGGAGAAATAAATCATCTTGGTGATAAATTATATGATCATCAGAAGCAAGGTGATCTGATGGTGACAAAATAGGACTTCTGAGGACTGGTGAAATGGATGAGGATGAACCAGACAAGTTGAATCTTGGTTTCAATTTCGAATTTTCTAGTTCCACCAAGGAATCCATGCGATTCTTCATTTTTAGATTTTGTTGGCACAGTCAATTTGAATAACTTTTTAACATTTTTTCTAACCTTACTTGGCTACTTGGTTGGTCTGTCATCCGACAGCAACTTGTTTGTTGTTGTTATTTATTTTTCCATGGTGTTGCCACCCCTTGTCTGGCTGCGGAGTTTCTTCCAGTCGGCTAGGGTGAGCCAGCTGGCGCTCCCTGTCGGCGCTTCCGAGAAGTATTTCCCTTCTCTTCGTCACACTCCACCTTTCACCACCCCCCTCGCCGGCAGCAGAGAGCGTCGAGCGATCTGTCTGTCTGTACCGAGTGCGGTGGTGTGGTAGCGTCAGTCCGTTCCGTGCCGAGAAGGTGTTCTCCTCGATCCACCCGGATTCTGTGTTTGTAACTCAATTGCTTACGTTTGCGAGAGTGAAGTGAATTGTCGATTGTGTGTCAAAGTGTTCAAATTGTGTTCTGCGGGAAAGTTGTGTGAGATAAACAATTGTGCCACCCATTCGGATACTTATGGATATAGACAACTAGCAGAAGATACCGCGGTCGTCTGGGCGTCAAACTCACAGGTTCGTGAAAATGTAAACAAAGCAAAGACCTCCTAATGATGGTCTTTTAGTGCTTTCCATTCTCTGGTAATTTTATTCATGTCTGCTCACTCTGATTGATTTAGGGCCAAATTGATTTCATTTAAATGCCCAATATATGCCCTGTTTACCTTAAAATTCCTCTAAAACCGTTCCTAAAGGTTAATGTTAAATTGATCCTCAAGTGGCTTGTAGTTATTCTGCAAATTCACTGTTAGAACCACGTGACCTTCTCATTATTTGAGATAGTAATAGTTATACTGCAGACCTAGAGAATATGCTTGTATTTGTGTAATTATTGTTGTACCACTTTGGTAGTGGTGTTGCTTAGCTGTCTCAAATTCATTTCATACACAGATTTATCACACAGTAAACCATTGGCACACTTTATCACAATTTAATTATTATGTAGGCACCGAAGTATAAATATGACAGTATCACATGAACACAATATCTTCTATTGTTCTGTTCTGAGTGATATTGTGATTAAATTGTAGACTTGAAATAGTCCCCACATCCATTCCATTTTGCCCCGCTTTCTCGTCAACGTGCACTGTTTATTACATCAAGAAATTGAGTTGAATCCATAAACGTATTTATATTGTTTGTGTCCATAAAAGGAAGGGAAGAAATATGAATAACAATCAGTTCTTTAGAATGAATCACTGCTAAACATGGTAGTTGATATCTGCAATAACTGTTCCGTTCTCTGGATTACTGGCAACCATTCGCAACCCCTGTTTTCACCCTCTACCCCCTCTACTACCCCTTCCTCTGCCACAACCACAGACTATCCTCACAATTCAACCCAACCCACCCGACCCC